TACGATGCTCGCACTGCACATGGAGCTCATGCAGTCCCCAAAGCTGGTCAACCCCAATTTCATGGCAACACATACTTATTTTATGATTCTACGATGTCACATTTACTTATTTAATTTCCATGTTATTTTACTGGCACATTTACGTATATGCCACTCAAATCTTATGTTTTTACCTAACTATTTTAATTAAAAAAAAAAAGGAAAGACAACATTCTACACACACACACACTCAAATATAATTTTATTTGGAATTTATGTACATACCACACATTACTCAAGTAAAGTGTATTTACATGAGTAACATTTATGAAGTGTGTCAGAAGATTCACGATGATATAATAATTAATTATCGTCTTAGCATGACATAAAGTCTAACGCACACTTAGAAAATTAACGAGAAGAAAAAAACAGGAAGAAATACCTCGATTTTTATTTGGAAAATCTTGAAAAGGAAAAAAATCACTGGATTTGGCCATTTGAAATAATCCATTATCAATTGTGAGTACACATTTTCACTTCTCTTCTGGATTAAAAAATATGAACTTACAAAGAAGATCATTATAAATATATAGAGTCAACTATTGATAATAAAAGTAATATGGTCGTTGTGATTGTAGTTCTCGGTGATAACATGCAGCAACGGTTGTAGGCAGTTGCTATGGACGCAGTAGTCTTTCGTGAATGTTGCAGACGACTATAGTTAGAAGCCATGATGCTAGTTGACCGTGTGGGCCATAGATGGTTGCTTCAGCAGACCATAGAAGCCGTAGTAGAAAGTTGCAGGAGCTAAGTCACATAGGTTGTAGCTGTCTACATAGGCCGTAATGGTAAGTTGTGATAACATTCGCACATCGCAAGGGTTGGAGTCAAAAGTTGCACGAGTTGTGAGTCACATAGATTGAGGTTGGTCAGATGTGTTGTAGTGGTGAGTTGTGGTGACGTCTGTAGGTCGTAGGAGCCAGATTCAAGAGCTGAATGAGATGTAGAACATGTAAGTTGTTGTTGGCCGTATATGCCATAGTGTTGGGGTTGTGATGACGAACATAAGCCGCAAATGATGGAGTGAGGAGTTGCATGAGCTATAATCCACTTAGGTTGTAGTTGTTTACACATGTCGTGGTGGTGAACTGTGATGACGTTTAGAGACTGTAGGGGTCGGGGTTGGAAGTTGCACGACCTATGAACCATATAAGCCCATACTTCACATAAATCGTAGTGGTGGGTTTTGATGACTTTTGTAAGCCGCAGAGGCTGGAGTTGGAAGAGTTGCACAAGATTTGAGCCACTTAGGTCGTAATTGGTCGCGTAGACCATAGCGGTGAGCTGTGATGACGTTTATATGTACATGGACCAGAGTTGGGTGATTCACAAGTTGCGTGCCATGTAGGTTATAATTGGTCACATTGATCGCAGTGGTGGGCTATGATGACATCTATAGGTCGTAGAAACCCAAGTTTGGTGTTGCAAGAGCTGTGAGTCATGTAGGTCATAGTTGATCACACAAATCGTAGTGAGGAGCTATAATGAGAGAGTTTTAGGAGTTAAGAGAATATCAATATTGTTACATTGTATTTGAGGATGTATTGTTACACCATTTTAAATGCAGAATCTAAGTTGGAATCCAACTCCTCTTTCAAGCTTCAACATTCTTCTGGCTCCAAATGTAGGTCCTCCTTCAAGTGGGGCTAAAACTCTATTTATAAAGTTTAGGTTGCAAATAAGGAGGGAATTTTGACCACTTTGATCAGACACACCGAAGAGTTCCCTCGATTGAACAACATTCGATAAGCATTTAAGTGTCTTAATGATGTCGACATTGAGCGATATTAGGCTCGATAGATTGGTTGAGACACTCAATTTGAATATAGGCTTGTCAGTTTAAAAGTTTTTACT